CAATGACCCAGACTCAGTGAGGCTCTGCCATGCCCATACGTGCCTGCTCTGACAGCAACACAAACGTGCCGCTCTCCCAGCACATCCATTCCAGATGAATAATCTGAGAACGATTGCTGTTGCCTCGGAGCTTCTTGCCATTTCTAGCCACTATAAGCAACAAATAAGTAAATATATGGTGAATGGTGTTTGGCCTCCTTTTACTATGTCATGCTGACTTAAAGCTGCTGCAGGGGGGAAAAGGTTGATTCACTAAAATCTGGTTCTGATCATTGTTTGCTTTGCTGTTTACAGTGAAGTTAATCCTGATTTAAACAATTATAATAGGGGGTGACTGTCCTAGTAACTTGCTTGTTCCTATGCATTGATCATTTCCTTGCTGCATTCATGTAAAACATAATTTAACTTACTTATACATTAAAAATGCATATTGGACAAAAAAAAAAAAAAAAAGTGTAGAAAATGTGAGAAAAGAAAGACTAAGACTAGCCCCAGAGGATATCACAGACAGTACCAGACAAATGGCCTCTGAGACTGACTGAAATAGTGATTGGTGTGAACTAGCCTGATGGTGCTAGATCTGTTCCTCTGCAGTTTTCAGAGCTTGAGCACTTGGGTGGCACCTTAAAGTGCCTAACTCTCTAATGTGTGAGTAAACACCTGTGAAACCTCAAAATGCAGCACAGTTTCTAGGATGAGATGTCTCTATCAAGGTGAGAGAAGGCCAGCCCAGGAGGAATCACAGAATCACAGAACTGTAGGGGTTGGAAGGGGATGTCATGGGTGACAGTATCGAAAGCCTTGCTAAAGTCAAGGTAGATGACATCCACCGCTCTTTCCCCACCTAACCAGCTGGTGATGCCATCATAGAAGGCAACAAGGTTGGTCGAGCACGACTTCCCCTTGGTGAATCCATGCTGACTACTCCTCATAACCTTCTTCTCTTCCAATTGCTTGGAGATGGCATCCAGAACAAGCTGCTCCAATACCTTCCCAGGGACAGAGGTAAGACTGACTGGCCTGTAGTTTCCCGGATCCTCCTTCCTGCCCTTCTTGAAGACCGGAGTGGCATTGGCTATCCTCCAGTCTTCAGGCACCTCACCCGTTCTCCAGGACCTTTCAAAGATGATAGAGAGTGGTTCGGCGATCACATCTGCCAGCTCCCTTAGCACACGCGGATGCATCTCATCGAGACCCATGGATTTGTGTGTGTTGAGCCCACTCAGATGCTCCCAAACCACTCCCACGTCCACCACGGGGGGTGCCCTCCATTTCCCAGACCCTTTGTCCTATCGCCAGGGGTGAGGAGTCCCAGGGGAGTGTCTTTGAAGCAAAGACTGCAGCAAAGAAAGCATTCAGTATCTCTGCCTTCTCAGCGTCTCCTGTGACCAGGATACCCTCCTCATTCAGCAAGGGACCAACATTATTCCTAGTCTTCCTCTTGCTGTTTACATGCTTGAAAAAACCCTTCTTATTATCCTTTATCTCTTTTGCAAGCCTCATCTCTAGGTGGGCTTTAGCCTTCCTCATCACACCGAGATCGCACCGAGATTGTACCGAGATCATGGCCCCGTGGCCGAACACAGATCTCGAGCTCATCGTGTTTATTTCCCATGCTCTGTGCATTGGTGTACAGGCGCTTTAGGGAAGCAGCAGGTGCAGTTACCCCTGGGGGGGATGCAAGAAGAAGATACTGGATGAGGGATCAGGAATGCTACCTTCTCTGAGGAGCCATCAGACAATCCTATGGGAGAGCTCAGAAGTTTTTCCCTGTCTTCAACAGTGACAGTAGCGACAACTTCCCCCAGCCCTTCTCTGTCACCTTTAGCTCCCCTCCCTTCCCCCATTAAACCTAGTTTAAAGCCCTGGTAACCAGCCCAGAGAGCTTGCTCCCCAACACACTTGCGCCCCACTTGCTCAGTTGGTGTCTGTCCACAGCCCACATACCCGGCCTCTCAAAGGATGGGCCAAGATCAAAATACCCAAATCCCTGGTCCAGACACCACCCCCTCAGCCAGTCATTTGCCTGTCCTGTTCTGCTCCTTCTATCTGCATCCCAGTCACCCAGCAGGAGGACAGAGGAGAACACTACCTGCACCCCCCATCCCCACAACAACCTCCCCAGGGATGTGAAGTCCTTTTTAATATTCTTCATTTTTCTAATAGAAGCTTCCCAGGATCCAACCTGAATGACTACGAGAGGATAGTAGTCCTCTGGTTTAATGAGTCGTGGCAGAGCCTTCCTAATGTCTCTCACACGTGCGCCAGGAAGACAGCACACTTCTCTGGCTAGGTTGCTTGGGTGGCAGATAGGAGCCTCAGTGCCCCTCAGCAAGGAGTCCCCAGTGACCAGGACTCTCTGCTCTTTTTTTGTGGCACAGGTTACAATATGGTGCTCCGGCCCTGATCCTTATGTTTTGCTCTTCCCCCAATCTTGACTCTCTTCTCGGGGTTGCTTCCCGGGTTCGGACTACTGACCAGACCCTCAGCCTCTTCCGCAACCTCCCTGAGAGCCTCAAATCAATTTCCCAGGGACACCGTGGGGGTAGGTGGCACCGTGGGTGTTGGGGGCAGACATCTCTTTCTGCTCCGAGTTGACACAAGGGTCCAGCCCCTTGTCTCTTGCGGACAGTCTGGCCCTCTGTTCTGCATCTGTACAACGGGGGCAGCCTCTACCCCTTGGGACATAGGAGAGGGCTGCCGAGCAACAGCAGGGGCGGGGAGACTCCTATCTGTCACCCTCAGAGACTCCCTCAGGCTGCCAATTTCTTGCTGCAGCGAGCCACCTGCTCGAGAAGTCCCTGAAGCAGGGCACACCTGCACCCGACAGCACTCTCCTCCCTCATGGCCGGGGCTGCGGCTCTCTTCCACGTTATTGGGGGGTTTGGGGTTGGCTTCGTTCATCTCCCTGCCAGGAGCCCTCGCTGCAGCCGATCCCTGCGAGGTTCCCAACTGAATGAGGAGTGGGAAGCCTTGCTGGAGTGTGACCCACTGATGCTCATTTCCCACTCTTCTGGAAGCAAAGTGAGTGCACAGAGGGATCTATAGCCCCCAAATGTGATAAACAGCACAAGGGTCCCCAATATGTCTTTGTGTCACCCTTAGCTCCCACAGACTTTTCTGACAGGACCTCTCCAGCTCCCTTTCGGGTGCCACCTTCCCTAAGCACTACTCTCACCAGCACAAGCAGCCCTTGGACCCCGTGTACTCTTCTGGCACAAGCCAGTGGGAGCGGTGGCTCTGCCTCACTGGGGGTCTCAGCTGCAGACACGTGGCTGAGCATCCTGGCAACAAGACAAAGGACAGCAGCCCCCTTGTGGTCCAGATTCTGTTTCTTTGTAGCTAAATCCTGGGCTGGTCCTCACCTTCACTCTACCTTCTGGTTAAAAATACCTGACCTTGTGAAACTTCCCAGCTCTCTCTGGGCTGTCCCTCCCTGCCCTGTGAAACACCCATTGAAGTCTGCTGAGGACCAGGCAGTTTTGTCTGCTTCCACGTGTGCCTGCCCTCAACCTGACGGCACCCTGCTATTGGTTCCCCCTAATTTTAATGTTCTCCCCCAGCTTGATAACCTATTTTCTTGTGCCTACAAGGACACGCAGACTCACTTTTCATTGTCTGCTGGAACACCTGCAGGGGGTGGGGGGCACAGTGTGTGCTCACTCCCCCAGCCAAAAGCTGCTCTCTGTTTCCAGTGATGGGTTTTGTTCTGGGAGCAACTGGAGGGACTGCCTGCAGCGTTCACATGTCCCTCTGCGTCTGCTGTTCGTGAGGGGTCGGGGGATGCTGGAATATTGGGAATTTTAAGTCAGAAAGTGATGAAGTAAAACAGTGCTCGCCCACGGCAACAAAATGCTCTCATGCAGAAGCTGATGGGGGCCCTGCACGCAGGGGTCAGTCCTGGGGGGGAATCGCGGCCGCCGGCAGCCCCGAGGTGTGAGCTGCGCCAACCGATGCTATTTCTGCCAAGGTCTCCTGGGCAGGGGCAGGGCCGAGGGGTGAAAAACCCACAACAGAGCTTTTTAACCGCTCATGATGATGGCTTTAACTATCCGGCACTTGGAACTGCCGTTAGAGATATGAAATTGTAAAAGCCGGGTGGATAAGCGCAGGTCGCGGTACCTGAGTCGGCAGCGGTGGCAGCAGCCGCGCTGAGCCCCGCAGATCACAGCAGAGCCCCGGGGACCCCCGCAGAGCTGCTCCCTGAGCCTGGCTGCGCCCCGTCTCCCCGTAGAGCCCCCACTGCGGGCTCCCCAGCTCCCTCCCCGAGTTTTCAGGTGTCCCCATCCGCCCGATAAATGCTTGGAGCAGGGTTTCGATACCCGCTGGTGCCCCGCGGCAGCCAGAGCCACTCGCACAACCCGCGCTTGGCGGAGCACGACGTGAAGCCAGCTCCGCCGCTGCCTTGAATGCGAGCATAATTCCCACGGCCGTCTGGCTCTGATATTGGGCACGGGTCCTCCTCACGGCTGGGCGCTGGCTCCCCCGTTCCTCTGCGCTGCTCTTGGGGAGCGGCTGAGCCCGGTCGGCGGGGGCTGCCGGGACGGGGACTGCCGGGGCGGGGGCTGCTGCTCCCCCGCCGCGCCGCCGGGATGAATGGAGCGGGGCCGGGCGGGAATGCCGGCCGATGAATGAGGAGGGACCCGTGAATGAACGAATGAATGAACGAACGGGGGCGGGAGGGGTGCGCACCGCGGGGGGGCGCTGTGCCGCCGCCGCCCGGCAGCCCCCGGCCGCGCACGTGTGTGAATGCGCGGGGCTGGGAGGGGCGGGGCGGGGCCGTTTTTTTTTTTTTTTTTTTTTTTTTTTTTTATATAAAAGCTTCCCGCCACAGCACGCGCCCGTTTGGCGGCAGTTTCCCGCCACCACCGTTCCCGCCACCTGCGCGGAGCTCCCGGCGCCGGCGGGAGGGAGCCGGCCCCGCGCTGCCCGGCCCCGGGGCAGGATGCGAGCGAACGGCTCCGTCCTGAACGGCTCCGTCCTGCCGCGGGACCCGCCGGCCGGGGACGCCCCGCGCCGCCCGCCCTGGGTCACCTCCACCTTGGCCGCCATCCTCATCTTCACCATCGTGGTGGACCTGCTGGGGAACCTCCTGGTCATCCTCTCCGTGTACCGCAACAAGAAGCTGCGGAACGCCGGTAAGCGGCGACGGGGCGAGGAGCGGGCTCCGGGAGCTCCTCGGGCTGCCCCCGCGCTGCGGTGGCGGAGCGGCTGTGGGTATTTTTAGCGCCCGCCGCCGCCTCGTGGTGCTATTTTTGGCTCCCACCTCGGGAGGGAGGAAGCAGGGAGCCTCCGAGGGCGGCATTTAGCGCGGGGTTAGGGGTGCTGCCGGGGCACGGTGCGATTCCGCGTGATGGGTGCTGGGCTTCTGGGTGAGCTGCTTTCAGGTAGAGAAAGGTTTCAGGTGATACATAGGTGATACACTTCCACCTGCGGTGCGAGCTTCAAAGCCAGCCACACGTTAAATTATAAACGTTGCAGGATTCAGAATAAGAGGACACTTGCTTCGCTTGTTTTGTTCGCCTCCTACTTGCTATTTCTTTTAGGAGCAGGAGACAGCTTGAGGTACATCCTTAATCTGTAGTTTTGACAGGATAGTTTTTGCGATGGTCTGTATTAAGTAAATCCCTTTTAGCTCATGTGCTATTGCTCTGACAGGCAGCAACTTCCTCAGATTCATTCTGCTTTATCACGGCAGGCCAGCTGCTGCGCACGTGTACCAAATCTGCGCTCAGCCCCATGCATCTTTCATTGAGAGAAATAGGAGTGTGTGAGGGAAGCTGTGCTGTTAATGAAAGCAGAATCTCACTCTGATAATAGAGATGCTAGCTGTACTTTTTTCATGACTAACTGCGCGTTTCTTTGTTACAACTTTGCTACATTTAGTAGCTAGTGGTTCAAAATTCAGCTGAAGGGGAACTTGATCCTTGGCTTCGCTGTAAACTGGCACAGCAAAGGTAGCTGACTGGCAACCAGTGGCATGCTTACCTTTCTGAGGTTAAGTCAGGCAATTCATGTAGATGGTACATGTCAGCTTTATTCAGCTGTTGTGGAATACCAGAATGAAGAGAATCTGACTTTTCCTGATGCCATTGATCTAAATTCCTAAAGCTGTATCTTGCTTTCATTGACAGAAGTTACTTTCACTAGAGCTGGCAGTACTACAGTGTGCAATACTGTATGGTCGAGATGAGAATCAGACTCCAAAATGCTAAGGCAGCACTTGACTAGCTTTGTTTCTTGTGAGATGCTCTAATGGAGTGAGGGTTGAGATGGCCGTGTTACTGGGGTTATTCCAGGAAAAAGGGGTGATGCTCTCTTCCCCCTTAATACAGACATACTTCAATGCTTCTGGGGGAGGGGGAGAGTTGCACTGCAGACACCTCTGGTAACAAGCCTGAAATAAGTACAGTGCCAATTTTTTTGGAAATGTAACTCACTGGTTTGGTTCTGTGTGCATGTTCAGTACTGTACATTTCACAATATCCCTCTTGAATCAAGACACATGCTTGCTTGCTCTTACTGCATTTCTCATTCTTTTTCTGTCACAGTGAACTGCAGCAAACTTTCAACAGTTATCTCCTACAGCTAGGGGAGCAGAGCACTTTCCTGAACATATGATTTAACCTTGAATATGAACTAGATACTTTCCTATACTCTGAAAAGAAGGATTATTGGAAATAAGTAGATACTTGGTACATGATAAATTGTTTATAGTCTCCTTTAGTGAAAAATAGGAAAAGTTTTAAGTTTCCTAATGAGGCAGATTAAAAATCCTTTTCCTCAAAGGAAAGATTCATAATACATAGATAAAATGAAACTCTGGGAAGAAAATAAGCCTTGAAAAGGTGTGTGGACTGTTCTTGACTAATCTGGTAAAACCCCATACCTGGGCATAACTTGGCCTATGTGAACACTACTATTAACTTGGCATTGAATTAAGGCTTACTCAGGTGAGTAAACTTATGATTAAGTGTAACTACTCAAAAACACTGACCTAATATTGAATAGGAAGGAGCTTCCTAAGTTTTCATATTAATTCCAGGTTATTCAGCAAGAGAGAACATTGCAAATTGTGTTTAAATCAGATCATATAACTTGCTGGTTATAAAGACAGTTACAACTTTTTTACAGAGCTATAATAAGAGAAACTTCTGGTTTTACAACAGCCTATGTTAATAAGTCTTTTGCTGGCACATTTATTAAGGAAAAAAGGACACAGGATGAAAATTCCACTGGAAAAAGGTCAGGGAGGAACAGAAGACACCTCCTGAAGAAAATATATCATTGAAGACTTTTCTTTTTCCAAGAAAGGACTAACAAATGAGGAATATTAATACAAAAAGGTGGATTTGGTGGGGGAATACATCTTGCATCTCTGTCCCACTCTCTATGTACATATTTTGGAAGATTACTGCAAATTGAACCAGTGGACTTATGATTAAAAAAATGCACTGAGGAATAGTAGGAAGGCATAGAAAAACCTTCTCAACAAGTGGTATAACCTTCTTGACAGTCTGAAGGTTAGTAAAAGGCATTGGCCAAAGCAGAGAAGTCAGTATCAAAGAAGTTTGTCTCAGCAAGCGAGGAGTTTCTGATACTACAGACTCCTTCATAGTCACAAGCATGGCTTCAGTAGATGCTCTTCTAGACACAGAAGCTGATGATGCAACTGGTAGGATCCTCTTTTATTTAATGTACTTGACTTGTAATAAGTTTCATAGTTCTGGTCTGTTTCTTTAATGGTAACTTTCTAATCTAACAAGCACCTGACACCAATTCAGTCCTGATGGGAACAGTTGTGATTTAATGCTGGACTGAATTTGGTTTATGATGTCTGATCTTTTAACTTTGAAAGAAATTTCAAGAGGAACATTCAAGGCATAAGGATTCTAGTGCCTGTATCTTGACAGGATGTCCATGCAACTTAAACTTTAAGCTTATGTGCTTTCTTTAATAATTCATTTGAAGAAGAATGAGGATAGCTCATTTTCAAAAGTTTGCTGTAAATCATCTTAATATTTGCAATGGAAAATGAAATTCATAGATGAGAAATAGGGTCATTCAACAAATTCTACCCTGAAATATGGAATAACCAGCTTTAGGGAAGGTAGATTAAAGAAATGCTAGTAGTTCTTGCAATAAGTGAAATTTCTATTTGAAACTCTTAGCACTGGAGTTAAACACCTCAGAAAAATGTGAAGAGATTATTCAAAGTGGTTTATGTAGGATTGTACAGATTCCTATCAGTGACTGCTAGTATCCTTATGCCTTTGCTGTTAACCATGCCAAGAAAAACAATGCATCAAGAACAAGGTGAAGGAGCAGTTGTAAGTCTTTGACTCTGAAGATTAGTTTAAAGCTTAGTATGTTAAAATGTCAGCGTTTTGGCCATGGGGGGCTTGGGTGTACAGTGATTACAGGACTGGGCCATTCTTAAGGTCAATGAAGAAAGTTCAAGTGCTACTGTCCTCTTGTTCTTCTTTCTATTCCTTCTGAAACTGGTCTCTTGGTCCAGTGGGTTGACTTTTCCTGGGTATTTTTGTACTGAGGTCAGCTGTGCCCTGATTACCCCTTCAGCAAACTTCTGTGACAGAAGGGAGCCTAAAACAGGCAAGAAGCTAGCTCCAGTAGTTTCACACTGACTCTTCTGTGCCTGCCTTGTTGGCTAATGCTTGGTAAAAGATGGATATTACAGGGATTGGTGCCAAGATGGTAACTAGCACCTACTGCATCAGGGCAGACAGCTGCATTCACACCCCACCCTCCTTCTCAGCCATCTCTCTTTTGTGTTTAGATGTGTCTGGCTTTTCCCTGTTTTCTGTATTCTTGGCACAAATGCATTGTTGCTAAAACTCTAGCTTTTGGTACTGATGAAGATAGAGCAAGTCTGATGTTGCTGAGGCCTCAGAGCCCTAGAAAAGTAATATAACTAACTCACTAGGACTGCACATGTGATTAAACTGCAGTGTTAACTACTTCAGTTTCTTCCTTTTCATTTGACAATGTTTGCAGCTGAGGCAGATTTAGCATGCATTAGGTCCAAACAGGTCTGTAAAGGAAGCTGAGTGCTCAAAGGAATTATGAGGTTGAGAGTTATCTATGAGTGTAAGTCACTGGTGGAAGAACGAAGCAGCTGTGTTCCTTAGTACTATATTTCAAAAAATGGTAATTGCTAAATAATAACAGCCATCCCAGAACTGGGGAGTGGGATCCACCAGTAAGAATATTATTTTGGAGGCTTTCAAAATTGGCCTTGTTTTAAAATTATGTATTCTGAGCAGTGTAAGAATCTGCCCATAGAGTTTTTTCAGTGCAATTTGTAGAGTATCAATCTTTTGCTTCAGTTGGAACCAACTTCTGATAATCACATTGGAGATCTCATCAAGCTTTTCAGAATGACTGCTCTTGACGATGTTTTTTAGTGTTCAGACAATTTTTAGTAGAGTAACAGTATTTAATAAATGAAATTCCTGTTGTAAATCCAGACTAATGTAACCATTGTTTTTGTTACAGGTGATCCTTGGACTTCTTTTTCTGTCCAGAGAGAGAATGGGTAGCCTGACAAATATTTGACTCAAGGGCGATAACTAACAGAAGATCAAGTTGTAGCACAAATTCAGGGTTCTGATGAAAGCTGAGATGTTGATGGCATTATTTCAGACATAACTTCAGGTATTAAAAATGGTAAGCTGATTGGGAGAGGGGAAAATATCTAGAGGAAATACTGAACTTGGACAATTGAACAGAATTGAGTATAAAAACTCGGTTTAAATAAAGCTGTTCCAAAGACTGGTTTTGATGAATAATTTACTGAATTGAGGGTTTTTCAGAGAACTACTTAAATGACATTGTCCTGTCAGTGACCAACAACAGATGAGTATTTCAAATAACATTCCATTCTTTCTAATATGTCCGCTAAATTCAGCTATTTATACCTTCTGCAAGTTTCTGCTTTTTGAAGTCTTTCACAGTAGTGCTTCTAGTTTGCTGCTGCTAGCAGAGAACAGTACCTACATATTATACTGCTTGTCTTTTTTAGTAGTTCTTGGAGTGCTTCTCCCTTTTCTGATTTAGATGGCTTTTCATCTTTAATCTTTTAGCAATTTCTGATCTGCTTCTACTCTTGTTCTTTTTCTACTTTTCTTTTTACATTACTTTCCTATCCTGCTGTGGATGCTTCTTGTGTTTCTAGCAAATGACATAAGCAGCAAGTCTAGTTTAGTGACAACTCTTACCAACAGTGGGCATCCAATGCTATAGGACAATGTCCAACCCATTTGTATAAGGCTGGCTTTCCTAGGGCAATAACAACTGCTATAGCGGGGTTAATTCAGTGCTATGCATTAATCTAATTTTGCAACCTCAAGAACCTTGTCACCCTTGCTCTTGGCAGCTTTTGTCATATCAGTGAGCTGCTTCAAATTTCATGTTAATTTTGCATTCCTGAGTAATGATTGCCAAGCTCTGTTTCAGGAGGATGAGTGTTACTAAGAATTCTTCAGGTTAAGAGAATATTGCTAATGTTTTATTGTCTGCTTATTTAATGTGTAGTTAAAAATGCTGAAGACTGTAATACAAATGCTGCTATTAGAAGTGTTCTTTCAAAGTCTATTCCCCTTAAAGTCACAGAGGTACTACAGCAGCTAAGTAGTATAATCCAGGTTCCTACCTTCCATGTCAAAATAAAGGTCAGACCTATCTTTTCCTCCTGTAGTTTTGAGGATGGATATGATATACAAGAACAAAACCTAAATGATACCCTTACATTTAGATGATAAGAATGTTGCATGTTTTAACCTTGTACTTTTCAAGCTGATCAGAAACTAAGGTGTAATCAGCAAGTCTGTTTAACTCTTTAAATAGTGACTTCTGTTACTTCTAAATAGCTTTGTAGTCATGACTAAGTGTACAAAGGTTCATGTCCTATATTTTTAAACAGTATTCACTCATATCCTTAAAGAGAAGGCCAATTTATATCCCTTCCTTGAAGAAACACCTTGCACGGGAAGTGAAATATTCCTAGCTCATTTGCTTCACTTTATAAATGACCTAATACCAGGTCATGTATCTAGTTCTAGAAGACATTACTTTATTGATAATCAAATTTGTAATTAAATCAAATTATCTTATAGTCCCATTGTAGTCCCGTACTTGAATTAGGCATTTTCTCATCATGGAGAACTTGATCTCTTCCTTTGCTATAGTTGTAAGAAACTCCTTTTAACACTTTGCTCGTTCTTTACTCTCACATCACTCCTAAGGTCCCATGTTGAAAACAGAATAATTTCAAACCCTGCTGTGCATAAGCAAGTATTGAAATTTTCAGTTCAAATGCAAAGTAGTGGGAAAGGTATGTGGATGGCTTCTGTTTTTGTCTACACCCTTAGGTAGCCTTTTAGCTACCTTTGCGTTGCTTGGGAAGGGTATATACCTTTCCATTTAGGCCTACAGAAACCCTGCTCTGCATGATCTACATTTCACATGGATCATTTTCCTCCAATGTGATGCTGAAATATAAGCTCTATCTTACCTTAGTTTTGTATCTGCACCCCAAAAAATAAAGTTAGCAAAACTAGTTTTTCCTCTTTGAAGGAGAGACTACCAAGCAGAGGCACCCTGCCCCTGTGCTGGAAGTGGTTAACTCTTCCCTTGTTGCTTGGTATTGTGAGGTCAAGTGATAACATTGCTTTTGTTAGGTCACTTTGTCTGGACCTGAGTATCAACCTAGTGCAACAGTCAGTACTATGTTAGTTGTCTAGGGAAGACAGCCAGTTCTGTAGCCCTTGGCAAAAGGCACAAATGAGCACAAGTACAGGGATTGGCCTTGAAAATTGGTACCCAGCCACAGCCCAGAGAAGTTCTAGAAATGTGCAATGATATCTACTGGGTGAAGCATCATAATCTTTATCCCCATAGCAGTAGCTATGGATTACATTTGATGTATACTTCTTTACCAGATTCAGTGATGAGTTTTCTGCTCCTTCGTCTTGATTCTTAAGGACTTGTTCTTCCTGTGTTGGGGAGTGAAGAAGGGTTTTCATTCTTGGATATGAAAGTGTTCTTAGCTCAATACAGGCATGGTATGGGCAACTTCATTTTAGGGGCATTGAAAGAAAGGTACCTTTGCATGAATTTCCCTCACTTTATTAGTATCACAACGCCACTTTTTAGTGCCTTTTTTGTGAGTGCGGAAGGAGAATTTTTTTTCTTGAGTAACAGCATCCACAGACTTGTTTTGAAGTTATTTTGAAGGACTGGATATTGTTGGAGAACTTGGTAGCTACGTTTTATGAAGAATTGATGTCTCCATATATGTGAATGAACTGGATATTTCACTGGTTTATTTCATTTTGGATGAAGAACTAATGAATTATAAATAAAATCATTTTTATTAATGGTTTGTGTATTTTGCATTCATATATTGTCTTTTAATGTAAATAATTATTAATTGTCTCCAGATATCTCTGGCTGTATAATTCTGGGGTCTGCCTTCTGTAGTTTGAGTAATTATCTAACATGCAGGTTTGCATAATTTTAATTTGTTACAAGATTAAAGTTCGTCCTCATTTGTGTGCCATATTAAATCTGCAAACCTTTCCCAAATTTAGGTTATTGAATCAGTTCTTACTTAGAACAAGGGATTAAAAGGGATCTTCTAGACTATCAAGTCCAATTTCTAGGTGTACTAGACTTTCATATAAATTCTTTAGGAGTCAGTCCTCACCTTAAGTTATAGCTTTTTCTTATTCCATTGCAAGAAGGATGCTCTCAATACCTAAAATGTTTTCTTGTGTAAATGTATCATGCTTACTAAATGTACTGTGCTTAATATTAAATATCTCTTCCAGTAATAAAGGGTGAGAAAAACAGCTCTTGGCTCTTACTCTAACTCTCTAGCCAAAGTCAAATATCAAATTCTATTTGTATTTTGGCAAAATAACCTTCCCCCTTCTGTGAGAGCACTGCCCCCAGGCATGCACCTCATCTCCAGAATATACCTTCCCTAAAAGCAAAATGCTTGTTGTACTGAAATCAACTAGCAAACCTTTTACCATGGCCATTAACAGCCTCCTTTCTCTACTTTGGCTGCAATACTTGCCAAAGTCTGCAATACTGTTAAGTCTTAAACCTGAAGTGCTGAAAGCAGTAAAGTCTTCTGCATAACTTCCCTTCCTATACCTGGCCTCAAGCCAAAAGCCGAAGATGCATGTTCACCTCTGTTCTCTGTGGTAAGCTCATCAGCATTTAAATTTTTTTAAATGTTACCTTTAGGTATGTTCTCTAGTGAAATTCTTAATACAGAGATTCGTTAAATGTTTTAAGAACCATGGGGTCAGATGGGGATTTTTGTTTGGTTGCCAATTTCCTTGTGATAAAGGTGATTATAAATCAGGGTTACTGTACTCTTAAGTGCCTGACCTTTGTATAGCCTGACATGGGTGCATGATGTGAAGCCAGTTGCAATTTCATGTATAGCATAGTATGCAGACTATGGAGTCTGATAATTGGTACTTCAAGAAAACCTTTTGGGAATAAAGAAAACACAAAAGGCCATCTACTACCACAAAACTGTACTCTGATTTTCCTCAAATGGATTTTGTTACTGAGGTCAAGGACAGTTTGCTTGTACTAGAGTTGTCTGGTCAGATCACATCATGTTATCCTTGATGCTATCTTTGTCCTTTGCTTTCTAAATACTCATCATTCTTTAACACATTCATTAAGCAGAATACATTTTAAAATTTGGGCTTTGCCTTATTGTACAGATTGGTGGTTCTGTTGCTATTTACATCAATATTTGATATTCCTTTGGAAGTTTCTTATCAATGTGACTATCTCTAACCAGTACCTTTTCAGTTCTTGCCTTGACTTTTATTCTAATTTAAGGAACCGCACTGTTCAGAACCTCCGCAGTGCATCATAAACCCACCTTATTCTCCCTTCCTGATGCTGAAGCATGTTTCAGCACCTGTTGCTAATTATTTTCTTGGGATTGGCTTTTTCTACTGGAGATATACAGAGTTACTTTATATAAAGCTTATGTAAGTCCTATGGTTCTTTACTATGCTGCACAAAGTATTTGTACAAGAGAGAGTTCCATTTTATGGTATACTTGTTTCATGCATTTGCAGAAATGTATTTAGCAGCATTTCCTCTAATTATTTGTATTTTTTACAGAAATTAAATTTTCATTTTTCTTTTAGTGCTGTAGTATCCCCAGAATATAACTCATGTTCATTGCTTGTGAATATATATGCTGTCTCTGCAAATAAGGATCTCATATACAGGTTAATATCCAGCATGTCTGACAGGAAGACAGCACTGTTTTCCCTTCTTCCTTCATCTAGACAGGTGGCTATAAATGGTATAAATTAGAGCAATTTCAATGTTTCTGTAATTGATGCTTACTGAAATGGGTCCCATGGGGATTTTTGTATTGCTGAGTGCCATTTGAATACAGTTTTCACTGGCCAAGCTTATTCTAACTGTTCTGCATGTAACCATTATGGATAATAGAGTTAACACAGTGATCTCCATCTGTCAGGGTACACTGCATTTTTGTCTCTGCATACAGAGAAGACAGTAGAACCAAATTTGTCTTAAATGCAAATTTGTTTAAAATAGTTTTAGTTTAATACCTAAAGTAGAACTCAAAATGCAGTCAGATTTTCTTCTACTTCCTTGCAGCAAAGGTTTTCAAACATGCCTTGAATTAATTGGGCAAATAATTGGGGATTTTTTTGCAGTTTCTCCTAGAAAACTGTGTTTATACCACTTCTGTTTTTTTCAGCACTTTTTCTTGTACCTTCTCCTGCCCAGTTGGTGTACCCTGCTACTAGGAATCTCTGCAGTGCCCGATAATGTCAATTATGAACACTTTGTTGGTTGCTGGAAACCTGCCTTGGTTTTCCTTGTTTGTATGGTATAAGTATCTTGTTCACAGATGCCCTCCTCAAACAGCATTTTGTCTGCCTAGCATACCCACTTTTGTTATTTTTGGATGCACCTAGGGATTTGTGTTGCTTCTGTTCATTGTATGTTTGCACTTAGGAATATTAGCACTTTAAAAGGGCATTGAGTGCTTCCTTTGCAATTACTCTGTGTAAGAATTTCTAAGGAATACTTCATGACAATCTAATACAGTTGTGCGAAGCTTGGATTTGCACCCTGTTAATACTGCTGGCAGTGATCATTATCTAAATCATGCTGTGAAGATGCCCTGAAGATATGGTGAACTCTGACACATGTAAGTGCAGGGGTACAAATGCATTAAAAAGAAGATTAATAAGCTAAGTGAAACCATCCCAGTGGAGACAATTTGCAGTCTGCTTGTTGATGGTGTTTGTACTGGGGTATCCCAATTATGACAGCAGTAACCCACCCCATCATTGTAAGCTTTTATAGCAGGTCTTCCCTATACTTTCCTTAAGCTTTTACAGTGACAGAGCTTTGCTACTAGAATGCTGACTAGCAGCAGGCTGCCTGAGTGCTTCTTTCCTGTGCAAAGATAACTTCATAGACTACCATCAAAGCAGTGAACTGATTTCTAAGATCTGCTTATATTCAGAGATTCACGTTATCTTCTGTATCCATATTTATTCAGAAAACTTCAGATCAGATTCAAATCTCAAAGATACTGTTTCTATATTTTGTCTAGTCATCACAAGGAATGGTCAACAATTCAATGTTTGCCTACTTTACTTAAAAACAACCTTGTTTGCCTTGCCAACAAATTTCCAAATCATGAATTTTCTCATGTCACTTTTTTGTCTACTCAAACCAAAGAATGGAATTTCCAGTAGTAACACTGTATGTCAGCACCAGTATATGCTTAAGCTGAAACCCATTCTGAAGACGTACATGTATTAATACAACTTTAAGAATGTATGTTGTGATAGCATTTCTACATATTCATATGAGAAGTGGAAATGTAGCATGTGACCAACCACTTGTAGAAACACTAAAAACAAATATTTTTAGCACATCAGAATGTTATTAGAAATAAAGAACCATCTAATGATTACCTATCTGTAAACTGAAAGAATGATACCTTCTGTATTCAAAAACTAAGATGCTACTGAGATAGGAAGACATGATTTGACAAGTAAGGAAAGTCATATAACTTGAAAAGTGAATTTCAATTGTAGGAGGGCAATGATTAGGCAATAAGACTAAACCCTACCTTCACTCAAAGGTTTAATAACTCTGGAGAATTACTGAAAGTTAGCTATGACTTGGCATGTGTAACTTTGTGGTTACTTTTGGGCTGGTGTCTGTCTGTCCTTCTAAAGAAGATGGTTTTCAGGAACTCCACACCCCCCCCCCAGTGATTGCAGTACTCACAGTGGATAGAAGGGGCATCACTGCAAATCTTCAGTTGTATAAGGTGGTCTTAGTTCATAGAGCGTTGTTCAGCTAGCAGCATCAAAATAGCGTTCTCTGTCATTTTATCATGTTTTTTTTTTTTGATTCCTATTGCTTCCTAGAAGAGAAATTGGACCTTTCAGAGCACAGAACATTTTGGGTTGAATTTTTTGCAGCTGGTGTCTGATAACCATAATTTTGATAAGTAGCCTGACTCACTTGCTCTGAAATTAATTTGCTGGTTACAATTATTCAACTTCGGGTGTAGCTCCAATTTGGAGTTCTCAGTCACCATGCAGAACTGTATTGCTACTTCAGGGTTACCTCTGTGACTGATGAATATGCATGGTGCTACAGCCCATCACAATCCTTTCCATAAGGAGGCTTTCTGAAGGACCTGCTTTTTTTTTTTTTTGTCCAAGGCATCTTGATTCCACCAGGCTTCTGTTGCAGCACTCAAACTGTTTTAGATCACAGTATTAAGGGAATCTTCCCTATCTGACAAGGACAAATGTTTTGCATGTCATACCTAAAACAAAACTGCATGTTATCCAGTATACTCTATTGTATTGAACAATAAATGCAAGTGGATGCAGATTTTGTCATTTTCTTAGGCTTTAGTTATTTGGAGTTTTCAACCAGCTTCAGGTTTTCTAGCTTTTCAACAACAAATGGCAGCAAGCTCTCCAATGTTATATGTGTTCCTTCAGAAGATCAGACTTAAATCTTCTATCGAAGTTCTATCAAAAGGGCATCAGTTGCCCTTTTCTCATTGTCTTCCAGAACCATCTTTCCCATTCTCTGTAGACTTTGTTGATTCCATACCTGTCTTCAAAGTTCAGAAATGACCTTTGTCTTTAACAATCTGTGTCAATATGTCGAATACTAAATTTCTGCCTGCATGCGGACACAGGACCTCTATTTCTTGTTCTGTGTGGACTTTTGCTCTTAGCACAGTTTTCTTATTTTGTACTATCTGTCATGTCATTCCTTCCATGTTTGTTCCTAGTCAAAGCTTATAATTTATTACATTTCTTTAGACCCCCTCATATATCTTGTCTGCTTGTATCACGGTTTTCAAGCAGTCAGTGTAGGAAATAGCTAAATCCATTGGATTCTATTGCATCTTGCAGTCCCTAGGCATTTTTTCCTACGTATATTCCACATCAAACACTACATCATTTTAAACCCTAGCTACAGTTAGGAAACAACTTTAAAACTACTGTTTATTACTTCATTTATTCTACCTCAAAATCAAATCCTTTTAGTTTAGAAGTCACTGTGAAATACCAGGAATGTTCAGCTATTCACGGAATTCTTTTCTACATAGGTAAGTTTGATAGCATTTCAATTAATAAATAATATCAAAGAAAGAGCAGCAGGAACATAACTTCAGTCAAAGAAAATCAAAGTATAATTTTATGGTATATAGAAAAATTTGAATCATCTTAAATACAGTATTACTCTACAAATCACTCTACAAGTTTCTTAAAAAGATTTACTG